TTTTTTTTGGTGAGAGGGAGGGGTGAATCTTCTCAGCCTCCCTCTTCCAACCCCACAGCCACCAACCCCTTCCCACACGGAGCCGACTTCTGCTGGTGGCCACCCCTCTGGGACACCCATTTTTATTTTTTTAATTCCCACCCAAGGATGTTTTTTCCATTGCTTTTCAGAGAGGGGGTAGGGGGGAGAGAGAGACACATTGCTTGGTTGCCTCCCCCTGGAGCACTGACCAGGGCTGGGGATCGAGCCTTCAACAGAGGTACATGTCCTTGGTACAAACCAAGGAGCACCCTGCTCCAGGGTGACCTCGTCTTAATTTAATTACATCTACAAAGACCTTATTTCCAAACAAGGCCACAGTCACAGGGCCTGGAGGTGAGGACTTAGCCTATCTCTTTGGGGAACACAATTTAACCAGCATGAAAGAAACAGGCCTGGGCAAGAGGTTAGGCATCTGGAACCCTGTCACCAGGACCCTTCAGTCCGCGGGCCAACGCTCTAACCACTGAACCAAACCAGCTAGGGCTGGAACACCCATTTTTTAATTTCTGTAACACTGGGCTGCCTGGGTGACCCACTACCCAGACTCTGGACACCCCTCACAGGCCCTGGTCTGTCTCTTTCAAATCCAAGACCCCTAGATCCCCACTACAGACTCCAGGCACCTGCTCCTAGGTTACTGCCCACTCACTGACTGGGGCCTGGCCCTGCTGCAGCTCCCTCACTTCCTGCTATCTGTCTCCCAGCCCCTCCCTCCCACCAGGACTCCACTTTGTGTCCAGAACTTGAACCTGTTTGGGCCCCTCTGGGTTTCCTGTCCTGATGCCGCCCTTTCTCACTGCAGCACAGCCTGTCCGGGCTCTGGGCTGGCTGCGGGTATCCAGGCCAAGGGCCACACTCAGCTGTGACCAACTGGCAGCCCTACCTCCAAGGTGACTGGAAAGCCCTTCACTGGGTAGAGAGGTGCCTCTCTTCTCTCCCAACCTTTGTCCCTTCCAGACACTGGGGACAGGTGCGCTGCTCCAGCTGCCCTGATAGCCTTGTTATCTGGTGCTCCTGCTGAGACAGGGCAGGGCTGGATGCCAGCCTGCATGGCACACATTTGAAAGGAAACATGCCGTCACTGATGCTGGTGGGCAACGAAGCACTTGTCCAGGTCGGTCCCGGGCGCAGAATCTGACACAGAGAGCATTAGGGCGTGCCTCAGGATGGCCCCTATGGATGGGAAGAGAGAAAGCAGATGCACAAAGAGACAAGCTGGCCTGTAATACAGTCTCACTGACCCCTAGAAGGATGTCAGGGCAGCCCTGTGTCCACCATGATCACACCAAGCCCACTCCCAGGTGCCGATGGGCATCTCCCTAGGGAAACACATAAGGAGAAGGTGAGTACGATGGACCCCAACTCCTGCCGCCATGATGGGTCTTGGCCACACAGGGCACTCAGTCTGTAGACCCTCATTCCTGAGGTCCTCTCTCAGGCCAGGGAAGTTGCACTTGTCCATTTGCTGACAGAACCAGGTGGGCCACCAGGGCACACTCCCTGCTCCTACCCTGTCACAGGCCCTCCCCCTCCTGGTGGTCAAGTCAGCTCCCCTGCTGGTCAATCACTCCTCTTCTGGCCTGCCCTGGCACCAGCCCTCTGATCAGCAGGGTGTCCCCAGGAGCCTCTGGCCCAGCATCTGTGCAAGAGAAGGAAGGGGAGGGAGCAGAATTTCACACATGGGGGTGAGGAGAGGGTGGGCTTGATGGGGATCTCAGCAGGCAGCCCCCAGAGGGATGCCTGTGCAGCCTCCGGAAGGGGTTGATTCCAAGAGGCAGCTGTAGGAATATCTGCCCACAGCCCTCCCTGTGATGGGATCTGGGCAAGGCCTTGGTCTATATCAAAGCCCTGGCTTCTTACTGCTGACAGCAGGAGCCCAGCCTCCCACTCCACCACACTGCCCCCTGCACAGCCCTGGCTTCTGCAAAGGTCTTCCCCACAAGGCCTCAGCCCCACAAGGTCTCAGCCCCCGCTCAGGTGTTCACTTGCTGACCGTTCCTGCTCTGGGCTGCAGGACAGCCATGGGCACGGACGTGACATGGGCCAGGGTGGAAGGGTACCTTTCATGGGGCCAGCTGGGGGGTTCAGGGCTCAGGATCTCGGAGTGGGCCAGCAGCTGTGGGCACCATGGTGTTCAAGGCTACTGTGAAGCCACAGGGCACAGATGTCCAGGAGGCAGCTGCGCTCATGGTTCTGGGACAGGCTGGGCTCGATGTGTGATTTGGGAGACTGAAGCAGTCTTGAGGAACTCTCTGAGTTAATGGGTAAGTGGAGATGGAGCAGAATCCTGTCACCAGGGACAAGGGTCCCTACACTCCATGACCCGGAGGTCAGGGGCAGCCAGACCCAAAATAGGTTTGTCAGATTTGGCAGCCAGAGTCCACGGTCACCTCAACAAAGGCTGGGGGGTGGGGGGCGAGGGGCAGACATGGGCCTGAGCTTCTCCCCGGACTCTGTGTGGGGTGTGGGAGTTTGAAGTGTCTGGGGAGCTGTCTGGGAGTCAAGGACAGGTGTGGGCGGGGTGATCAGGACAGCAGGGAATGAGGGTGTGGACCAGGGCAGGGGCTGCAGGTGTGGTTCTGGGGAAAGGAGAGTGGACGGTTCACGGGCAGAGAAGGAGGGAGGCCGCCTTTCCCAGGCTGTTGCAACAGTTACCGCAACCTGGGTGGCTTAAAACAACAGAAACAAATTCTTACCATGCAGACGCTAGAATCTGAAATCTGTGCTTCTGGAATTTGGTGGCAACCCTTGGTGTTTTGGGGCTGCATCACACCAATCTGCCTCCAGCATCACAGGCATGGTCCCTGTGTCTGTCTTCCTAAGGACACCAGGCCTGTCAGATCAGGGCCCTCCCTGCTCCAGGGTGACCTCGTCTTAATTTAATTACATCTGCAAAGACCTTATATCCAAACAAAGCCACAGTCACAGGGCCTGGAGGTGAGGACTTAGCCATATCTCTTTGGGGAACACAATTTAACCAGCACAAAAGAAACAGGCCTGGGCAAGAAGTAGGCATCTGTCACTGCTGCTCAGAGAATCGTGCACACAGCTATCTGTGAGAGGGATGGCCATGGGGGTGCTGGGCTTTGAGCCAGCTGACGAGCACCTGCAAGGCTGGAGACTATACCTGGCCCTGCCCACAGCCTGTCAGGACCAACACGCGGGCACTGAATATTTGGTGTCCCAGGCCCCCCAGGTGTGCACAGGTGTGGGTGCAGAGAGGACATACCGAGAGAGGACTGGTTGGGGTGGCCAGAGTAGGACACAGAGCCAGGCTAAGGGGGAGGATCTTGAGGAGACACAGCGTGGAGTCAGAGGGTGGAGGAGGGGAATGTGGGGGGATGGCTGCAGCCCAGCAGGGAGCTGGAGGGAGGGCATGAGTTTGAAGGAGGTCACTGGGAGAAGGACAAGGTGGGAGCTGGTGTCCATGAACACAGAGTGATGAGGTGAAGCCTTGGGAAGCAAGAGGAAGGCCATACTGTTGGAGGTGTGGGTGCTGCAGGGGTACAGGGCTGAGGCCAGATGCAAGCATGCAGCCCCCTCGCCCAGGGTGGGTGGTGAGGGTGTTGGGCTGGGCTGGAGGCCTGAGGATGGCCTACAGGAGAAAACAGAGGCTTCTGTGACCCGCCTGGGGTCCCTGTGCTCACTGGTCCCTCCTGGGGCCGGGTGAGGAGAGTGGAGAGACCTCACCTAGATACTGATCCTAGTCCTCTTGGAGGGGGACCCAGAATCTGGAATTGACCCCTGACTGCCCACCTGGGCCATCCCAGGGCCCCTAACGGACCCTTTTCATCCTCTGCAGGGAGCAGACACAGCAGATCTCGGGCAAGTGAGTCCTGCACAACCAGTGGGCACCATGAATGGCTATACCTCTCCTCGTGATGTCCTGGTCACCAATGGCACTGAGCCTGCCATCGTCCCCAAGAACATGAAGGCTGTGCTGGAAGCTAGCACTCCCTCTGGGCCCCAGGCCAAGAGCATTGCTGGGGTATATGTGGAGGCTTCAGGCCAGGCCCTGAGTATCTATGCCGCCATGAAGCAGGGCCTCCTGCCGGATGGGCTCGGGCTGGCGCTACTGGAGGCTCAGGCAGCCACTGGGGGCCTTGTAGATCCTGCCGGGGGCCAGCTGCTTCCCGTGTCCAAGGCCTTGCAGCAGGGTCTGGTGGGCCTGGAGCTGAAGGAGAAGCTGCTGGCTGCAGAGCGTGCTGTCACTGGGTACCCTGACCCTTATGGGGGTGAGAAGCTGGCCCTTTTCCAAGCCATTGGGAAGGAGGTTGTGGACAGGGCACTGGGGTGGAGCTGGCTAGAGGCCCAGCTGGCCACGGGGGGCCTGGTGGACCCCATCCAGGGCCTGCGAGTGGCCCCAGAGCTGGCTTGCCAGCAGGGCCTTCTGGACCAGGAGACGCGGCGTGGCCTGTTGGAGCGCAAACCAGACTTCCAGGATCCCAACACGCTGGAGCAGCTGTCTTACAGTGAGCTGCTGGGCAGGTGTATGCAGGCCTCCAGCACAGGGCTGGCTCTGCTGCCCCTCAAGACCACCTTTCCCACCCTGAGTGGGGCAGCAAGCTCATCTGAGTTGCTGGAGGCGGGAGTCCTGGACGAGGAGACAGTCCAGGCCCTGCAGGAGGGCAGGCTGGTGGTGCAGGATGTGAGTGTGCGCCCCCAGGTTCAGCGCTACCTGCAGGGCACTGGTGGTGTGGCAGGGGTCGTCCTGCTTCCTGCTGGCCACAAGAAGAGCTTCTTCCAGGCTGTTGCTGAGCATCTGCTCCCGATGGGTGCTGCACTTCCGCTGCTCGAGGCTCAGGCTTCCATCCGTGCTCTGGTGGATCCAGCCACTGGCCGCAGGCTGAGCGTGGACGAAGCAGTCAGGGCAGGCCTGGTAGGCCCAGAGCTGCATGGGCAGCTCTTGGAGGCGGAACAGGCGGTGACGGGGTTCCATGACCCCTTCAGTGGCACCCACATCCCCCTCTTCCAGGCTATGAAGAAGGAGCTGGTGGACAAGTCTCTGGCACTACGGCTCCTGGATGTGCAGCTGGCCACGGGAGGGCTACTGTGTCCGGCCCGCAGGTTCCGGCTGCCCCTGGAGGCTGCCTTGCGCTTCGCCTGCCTGGATGAGGCAACACAGCAGCATCTTTCACAGGCTGCTGGCTTCTCGGACCCACGTACGCAGGAGAGCCTTAGCTACGGGCAGCTGTTGACCCGCTGTGTCACCGACCCTGACACGGGGCTGGCCTTCCTGCCCCTACCCCAGGAGGCCCTTGGAGAGGAGCCACAGGCAGTGCCATTCATTGAGCACAGCACTCGGCAGGCTTTGAGTACAGCCACGGCCACCATCTCCGTGGGTAAGTTCCAGGGCCAACCTATGTCGCTGTGGGAGCTGCTCTTCTCTGAAGCCATCCCTGTGGAGCAGAGGGTAGCACTGGCACAGCAGCACAAGGCAGGGGCCCTGTCGATGGAGGAGTTGACAGCTGTGCTGAGGGCCACCCTGGAGCAGGCTGCAGCCACTGCCAGGACCACTTTCTCTGGGCTGAGGGTCCCTGTGACACCAGGAGAACTGCTGAAAGCAGAGATCATCGGCCAGGATGTGTATGAGCAGCTGGCACGAGGACAGACCACTGCCCAGCACGTGGGCAGCCTGGACTCCGTGCAAAGGTACTTGCAGGGCACAGGCTGCATTGCCGGCCTGCTGCTGCCTGGCTCCCAGGAGCGGCTTAGCATCTACGAGGCTCACAGGAAGGGGCTGCTCAGGCCTGGCACAGCCCTCATCCTTCTGGAGGCACAGGCAGCCACCGGCTTTATCATTGACCCAAAAGAAAACAAGAGATACTCTGTGCAGGAGGCACTGAGGGCTGGCGTCATCGGGCCCAATGTGTTTGCTAAGCTGCTTTCAGCAGAGCGCGCGGTCACCGGCTACACCGACCCCTACACCGGAGAGCAGATCTCCCTCTTCCAGGCCATGAAGAAGGACCTGATCGTCAGGGACCACGGCATCCGCCTGCTGGAGGCCCAGATCGCCACGGGCGGCATCATCGACCCCGTGCACAGCCACCGCGTGCCCGTGCACGTGGCCTACCAGCGCGGCTACTTTGACCAGACCCTGAACTTGATCCTGGCGGACCCAAACGACGACACCAAGGGCTTTTTTGACCCCAACACTCATGAGAACCTCACCTATATGCAGCTACTGGAGCGCTGTGTGCGTGACCCCGAGACAGGCCTCTACTTACTACCGCTCAGCAGTGCACAACCCCAGCTGGTGGATGGCACCACCCGACGGGCCTTCCAGAGCCTGCTGCTGTCCGTAAAGTGCGGGCGGTTCCGGGGGCGGCAGGTGTCTGCGTGGGAACTGCTCAACTCTGAATGCTTCAGCGAGGCCTGGCGGAGGCAGCTCCTGCACAACTACCGGCTGCGCAAGGTCTCCCTGGAACAGATCGCAAAGCTGCTGGAGAGGGAGACGGCAAGGTGCACAGACATCATGCTGCCTGTGCTGCGGGGCCAGGTCACCGCCTACCAGCTCCTAGAGGCCCAAATCATCGACCAGAAACTCCTGGACCAGCTGCTGGCAGGGGCCATCAGCCCCGAGGCTCTGCTCCACATGGGTGACGTCCAAAGGTACCTGAGTGGCTCGGGTGCCGTGGGCGGTGTGTTGCTGCAGTCCTCCAACCAGAGGCTCAGCCTCTACCAGGCCATGAAGCAGAAGCTGCTGGGGCCAGGAGTTGTCCTGGCGCTGCTGGAGGCCCAGGCAGCCACTGGAGCCCTGACTGACCCCCACAGTCTGGAGACCCTGTCGGTGGAAGAGGCTGTACGCAGGGAGCTGGTGGGGCCAGAACTGTATGCCCGGCTGAGACGGGCTGAAGACGCTGTGACTGGCTTCAGAGACCCCTTTTCTGGGGAGCGGGTGTCCCTGTTCCAGGCCATGAAGAAGGGCCTTGTACGTGAGGAGCAGGCTGCCCGCCTCCTAGAGGCCCAGGTGGCCACAGGAGGTGTCATTGACCCCACAGGCCACTACCACCTCCCTATGCCCGTGGCCACCCAGCGCGGCTACATTGATCAGGAGATGGAGACATCCTTGTCCAGTTCCATTGCAACCTTCCCCACGCCGGACGGCCGGGGGCACACCAGCTATACCCAGCTTCTGGGACAATGTCTGAAGGACGAGGCCTCCGGCCTTTACCTCTTGCCCTTGCAAGAAAGTGCTCCTGCTGTCCCCACAGACCAGCAAGTTCAGGAGACCCTGCAGGCCACGCAAGGGGCAGAAGACGGCATGTCCCTCTGGGAGCTGCTGGTCTCCTGCCACTTCACCAAGGAGCAGCGGGAGGCCTTCTTAGAGGACTTCCAGATGGGGAAAACCACTGTGCAGCAGCTGCAGGCGGCTGTGCAGAGCTGGGTGCAGGGGGTGAAGCTCCTAGCACAGGCCCGTGTCACAGTGCCTGGCCCTAGGGGTGAGGTTCCCGCTGTCTGGCTGCTGGACACTGGCATCATCACCCAGGAGACCCTGGTGGCACTGGCTCAGGGCACACAATCGCCCGCCGAAGTCGCTGAGGAGCCTACAGTGAAGGCCTGCCTGTGGGGCACGGGCTGTGTGGCTGGCGTGCTCCTGCAACCCTCGGGGACCACGGCCAGCATCACCCAGGCCATGAAGGATGGCCTCCTGCCCATGGGCCTGGGGCAGAGTCTGCTGGAGGCCCAGGTGGCATCTGGCTCACTCATTAACCCTCTGACCAACCAGAGACTATCTGTGGAAGGTGCTGTCAAGGCTGGACTGGTGAGCGGGACGCTGAGCGAGCAGCTCCTGCAGGCCCAGAGGGCAGTGGCTGGGTACACAGACCCCTACTCAGGGGGCTCCCTCTCACTATGGCAGGCCATGGAGAAGGGGCTTGTGCCCCAGAGCGAGGGCCTCCCTCTCTTGCAGGCACAGCTGGCTACAGGGGGTGCAGTGGACCCCATATACGGGGTACACCTTCCCCAAGTGGCCGCCTGCAGGCTTGGCCTCTTGGATGAGCAGATGAGCCAGGTGCTAACTGGGACAGACAAAGACAGCAAGTTCTTCTTCGACCCTAGCACGCGGGAGAAGGTGACATATCAGCAGCTCAAAGAGCGCTGTGTTCTTGACACTGACACCGGCCTATGGCTGCTGCCTCTTCCCCAGGATGTAGCACTTGAGGTGGACAACCACACAGCAGTGGCCCTGAGGGCAATGAAGGTGCCTGTGGGTGCTGGGAGATTCAAAGGGCTCACCGTGTCACTCTGGGACCTGCTGCACTCAGAGTATGTCAGCATTCATAAGCGGCGGGAGCTAGCAGTTCTCTGCCAGTCTGGGAGGGCCACAGCCCTAAGGCAGGTGGTCAGCGCAGTCACCGCCCTGGTTGAGGCCTCGGAGAGGAAGCCCTCACAGGCCGTCTTTAGGGGGCTCCGGAAGCAGGTGTCAGCCAGTGAACTGTTCAGGTCCCAGGTAATCAACAAGAAGACACTGGATGAGCTGAATCAGGGGACAAAGACCGTGCAGGAGGTGACAGAGATGGACAGTGTGAAGCGTTTCTTGGAAGGAAGGAACTTCATTGCCGGGGTCATTGTCCAGGCCACAAAGGAGAAGATGAGTATCTCAGAGGCCCTTAGGAGGGATATCCTGCGGCCGGGCACGGCCCTGGTGCTATTGGAGGCCCAGGCAGCCACCGGCTTCCTCATCGATCCTGTAGAGAACCGGAAGCTGACCGTGGAGGAGGCATTCGCAGCAGGGATGTTTGGCAAAGAAACCTACCAGAAGCTGCTTTCAGCAGAGCGCGCAGTCACCGGCTACACCGACCCCTACACCGGGGAGCANGGACCCGAGCGACGACACCAAGGGCTTCTTCGACCCCAACACGCACGAGAACCTCACCTACATGCAGCTGCTGCGCCGCTGCGTGCGTGACCCCGACACGGGGCTGTACATGTTGCAGCTGGCCGGCCAGGGCTCCGCTGTGCTCCAGCTCAGTGAGGAGCAGCGCCGCGCCCTGCATGACCTGCGCGTGACGCCGCCGCCGGGAGCGGGGGTCACCCGGGGCCAGGATGTCTCCGTCTGGGAGCTCCTCTTCTACCGGGAGGTGTCCGAGAGCCTGCGGCAGGACCTGCTGGTCCAGTACCGGGCGGGCACCCTGAGCGCGCAGGACTTGGGCGCCTCGCTCACCTCGCTGCTGGCCCGGGCCGAGGAAGGGAGCCCGAACCGGACCCCTGCAGACCCTCAGCGGGCCCTGCGGGCCGCCACCATGGAGGTCAAGGTGGGCCGCCTGCAGGGGCCGGCGGTGCCCGTGTGGGACGTGCTGGCGTCCAGCTACGTGAGCGCCGTCAGCAGGGAGCAGCTGCTGGCCCAGTTCCGCTCGGGGAGGCTGGGCCTGCCCGCGCTGACCCGCCGGCTGACCACCATCATCGAGGAGGCTGAGGTGGCCCAGGGGACCGAGCACGCGCAGGGGGACGCCGCCTCCGGCCAGCGGGAGTCCAGTCCACTCGGGCGTGGTGATGGCGAGGCCGACCCCCAGGCCGCCAGGCGCCTCCAGGAGCAGGACCTGCGTGCCGCCACCATGGAGGTGCGAGCCGGACGATTCCGAGGCCAGCCGGTCTCCGTGTGGGACGTCCTCTCCTCCTCCTACCTGAGCAAGGCCCGCCGGGAGGAGCTCCTGGCCCAGCACGCGGCCGGCGACCTGGCCCTGCCCGGCCTGGTGGCCACCCTCACCCAGGTCATCGAGGAGACGGAGGAGCGCCTCAGCAAGGTGTCCTTCCGGGGCCTGAGGCACCAGGTATCTGCATCCCAGCTGGGCGTATCTGGGATCCTGGACCCGGAGACCCTGCGGGGCCTGGCCCAGGGCACCAAGAGCCCGCAGGAGGTGATGAAGATGGACTCGGTCAGGCTCTACCTGGAGGGCACGAGCTGCATCGCGGGTGTGCTGGTGCCCGCCAGGGACGAGCCCGGGAGGCAGGAGAAGATGAGCGTCTACCAGGCCATGTGGAAGGGCCTCTTGCGGCCGGGCACGGCCCTGGTGCTGCTGGAGGCCCAGGCGGCCACCGGCTTCGTCATCGACCCCGTGCGCAACCAGCGGCTGTCCGTGGACGAGGCGGTGGCCGCGGGCGTGGTGGGCGGCGAGATCCGGGACAAGCTGCTGTCGGCGGAGCGCGCGGTCACCGGCTACACCGACCCCTACACCGGGGAGCAGATCTCCCTCTTCCAGGCCATGAAGAAGGACCTGATCGTCAGGGACCACGGCATCCGCCTGCTGGAGGCCCAGATCGCCACGGGCGGCATCATCGACCCCGTGCACAGCCACCGCGTGCCCGTGCCCATGGCCTACCAGCGCGGCTACTTCGACGAGGAGATGAACCGCGTCCTGGAGGACCCGAGCGACGACACCAAGGGCTTCTTCGACCCCAACACGCACGAGAACCTCACGTACCTGCAGCTGCTGGAGCGCTGTGTGCAAGACCCTGAGACCAGCCTGTACATGTTACAAATCGTAGAGAAAGGAGAAACGTACATGTATATCGATGAGGCCACGAGACAAGTCCTGCGATCTCAGACCACGACCATGCGCGTGGGGAGGTTTGCAGGTCAGAGCATCTCCATCTGGGACCTGCTCTCTTCTCAGTACTTCTCAGAGGAGAGGCGGCAGGAGCTGGTCCAGCAGTACCGAGCCCAGACCCTGAGTCTGCAGCAGTTGCTGGGGATCGTCACCGCCATAGTCGAAGAGACAGAGAAGCAACACCAGGTCATCCGGGTAGCAGGTATTGGTGGGGAGGTGACAGCCTCAGAGTTGTTCAACGCTGGAATCATTGATAAAAAGACCCTGGACACGCTGCACGGGGCACAGGCCCTCCACAGGCTGCAGCACGTGAGGACCTCCCTGGAAGGCAGTGGCTGCATTGCGGGGGTGATCATACCGTCTACACAGGAGGTGATGAGCCTCTATGAGGCCAGCACGAGGAGACTCATCCCCACAGGGTTTGCAGCCCTGCTGCTGGAGGCCCAAGCGGCCACAGGGTTCATGCTGGACCCCCGCAGCCACCGGAGGTTCTCCGTGGACGAGGCTGTAGCTGCTGGCCTGGTGGGCGAGGAGCTTCGGGAAAGACTGCTGAATGCCGAGAAGGCCGCCAAAGGCTACACTGACCCTGACACGAAGGACACAGTATCGCTGTTCCAGGCCATGGAAAGGAAGTTAGTCAAACGGGAGGAGGGGCTCAGGCTGCTTGAGGTGCAGGTGGCCACGGGGGGCGCCATCGACCCGTTGCACCACCACCGGCTCCCACTAGACACGGCCTACAAGCGTGGATGTCTGCACAGAGACACGTACCCACTGGTGTCTGATCAGAAGCATATGAATAAGAGGTTCGTGGATCCCAACACACATGAGAAGGTGACATACCAGGAGCTGCAGGAGAGAAGCCACTGGGAAGACAGGGCGGGCTGGGCTCTGTTCCCTGTGAACCGAAACGGAAAGGACTCCACATACATTGATGAAGCCACAAGAAGGGCCCTCGAGAGCGAGCGGGTAGAAGTCACAGTTGGCAGGTATATGGGACAGAGGCCATCAGTGTGGGAGCTGCTGAACTCCGAATATGTGACAGAGGAGAAAAAGCTTGAGTTAGTTGAAAAATACAAAAGAGAAACTGCAAATGCACTAGACAAGGTTGTGAAATTAATCTTTGTGCTGATCGATGAGAAAGAAAAGAAAAGTAAGCAGTTCTGGTTCAGGGGTATCAGGAGACAAATCACGGCCTCCGAACTCTTTGAATCAGCCATCATCACCAAGGAAATACTGGAGCAGCTCGAGGAGGGACATACCACCACGGAGGATGTCAAGAAGGACGAGGGTGTCAGGCTCTACCTGGAGGGCACGAGCTGCATCGCGGGTGTGCTGGTGC